CTGGCAGACCACACACTCGTGCCCATGTGCGTTCGAATGCCTGCCATACTACATCTGCTGACTTCCCTGTCCCCACATGTCTAACTAACTGAAAATAAATGCCCTAACATATGATTTGATCCAACAACGCACTGCACCATCGAGTGGGCACCTGACCTTGGCCAAATCAACACCAACAATATGGTTGAAGCGAGAAGATTTAGGAGCAGCAGCAGGACGGCGAGCGCAAGGTCGTTTACGCGCATCATATTCGTCGCACTCAAAATTTGTCAGTACCCAGCGTGCTACCTCAGGCTTTGCATTTCCCCGTCTCAGAAGTCGAGCGAAGTCTCGATTCCCAGGATGACAAGAGATGCATGGGCAAGTTTGAGGTCGGCCCACTGATCGGCAGTGCTCGTCCAGTCTAGTTGAGCAGGTCCTTCATCATCGTCATCAGGTTCGGCGTTGGGGTTGCCAATAGGAATTTCTTCTGGCCCATCTTCTTCAGGAGCTGCTTCCAAAGGTAAGCCTGGTATTGTTCACTGGGGGTGCCTGCTTGATCTACTTGACCTGTTGATGAGGGGTCCTTCCAATGCCGTCCTCATCGAGCTCCGAAGATGAGCTGTAGGCTCCGTTGGTGGTCTGCCACAAAATCAGTCGCCACTCTCCTCTACTCGCCTCGGCCGCTTCGACCGAAACCCGTGGAGTAGCGGACTGCCAGGAACCACCTGGAATACCTCAGAGCACGACCATGCGTTTACCAAAGATTGGACCACCCAGGCGTACATCTGTAGCATCTGGAGGAATGAGTTGCCCAACCTGACTGAGACAAGTGCACTGTGGATAGATGCTTGCCGGCAACGCACCAGCGAACATCATGTTAGCAGTAGCCTTGTGATAAGAAAAGGGAATGCGGCCAGTCCATTTCTTGTCCAGAATACAGACAGAAGACGGTTCGGACCACGTATCCTGAATGATTTCGGTAGTACCATTTGAGTAGACAACCCCTGTCATCCGCTCGTCGGTAAAATCGTATGCAGATCGGGAGCAGACGGATTTTTCTGATTAAAGAGGGTATCTCGGGTTTACTGGTGTACTCGGACATGTACCCTGGGGCCTTGTCCAGCGCATCGTGCAGTCGTCGCACGTCCACCACAGGGCCTTGTTGTTGCCCCGATGGCGCGTGATCTGCTCGGGATGCGTGCACGGGGACCGCTCGGCCTTCTTGGTGCCCGAGCCGTCGGGCTCCGGCCTCCTGCCCACCGCGAACCGCTCCCCACGGCTGCTCTTCAGAATTCGGGAGGAGGGTCGTGGTCGCGAGGACGAGGTGTGGATGATGCCGCCCCCTGATCCAGGCTCCTGGCGTCCCCGAGCAGGTCCTTGTGAGTGTTGGCCCCGATGCGGGCCTCCGCGCGGCGCTTCACAGCCACGCGGTCCAGGGTGGAGAGCAGCTTCAGACAAAACCGCTTCCATTTCCACGTCCACTTCTCTGGGGTCATCGTGGGCTGACTGGAACTCGTCGGAGGTTCCGGCTGCGGCTCCTTCCTGGCGAGGATGCGCTCCGCGGGGAGAGCAGATAGTCGGCTGAGAAAGGCAGGTTTGAGCTGAGGGTGCCTGCGGATTCGCATAGAACACGGCGTCCTCAGGCTCAACCATTTGGCAATGCCTCTGAGTTTTGGTGTATGGGGTTCAGACCGTAGGCATCCCCAAGATATTTTACCATTTCCTCGAAATGGTCTTTGCCACGCACTCCGTGCTGAGCTCCAGTACCCACCAAACCAAAACCCATCTGAACCTGAAGTCCAATGAAAACCTGATCGCCAGTGCCGGTAGTAGCAGAGATAGGAAAGGTGAAGGATTCCAGACTGGATCGTAGGTTCCTGTTGGCAAGCGTCATGTAGAGCATCATCTGCTTCGAGGGGAACTGCTTGGAAGCCGCCGAAGCCTGCTTGTCGCTTGCGTCCGCGCTCGTCGGGCTCGTTCGCACAGTTTCTAGCCCAGTGCCCCATCTTCCCACATCGGGCGCACTTCGAGCAGCTCATCAATCTACTTTCGGTCCACTGCTCCGGTGGGGCGTGTCCCGAGCGTTTCCCTCGACGTTCTCCCTTTCGGCAGCCTCTGGACTTTCCCTTTGGGGGCTGCTGTTTGAAAAAGCGTCGTCCAAGCTTCCGTCTGCGTAAGCGTTGTCGTACCTGCTTGCAGTCAGCACAGATTTCGATGGCCTCATCTTCTTCCGGAGCCACATCGTCGGGCAAGTCTCCAGCCATGAAGGGTACTTTGTCATCGTCCATGCACTCGATGGCCTCGTTCGTGATCTCCTCTTCCCCACAGGCCTTGGGCTCAGTAAACACATACAGTTGCGCAATCATGCAGTGGACCTCGTCGTGATCCAACTCCCCGTCCTCGTATCCGTCATAATTGCCTTGATGTCCGGCGCAATGCGAGGAGGAACTCATGCCATGGATGTGATGGCCGCCTTTGCCAGAAGGTAGTGGTCGCTCAAGCTTCCGACGCTTTTCGCACGCCAAATCAAAATCGTATGATCCTACTGTCCAGTGCTCAATCGTATCCCCAGCAGCGTCATTAAGCTTGGATTCTCTCAGAAGCACGTACCCTTTCAAGCCCCCCGGCAGGATAATGTGTTTCTCGAGTTCTCGGGAGAGCACGCGTTTACGCGCGATGTAGTTTACCAAGGATTATTCTCGCTTGCGCTTGGTGTCTTCAAAGTAGAAATGCTTTTCAAAAACCTTTGGCATCCTGCGGTCTTGGAACTCGGCAATAGCCAAGCCTTCTGGATGTGTTTCACAACTTGCCCGCCGTCTTCGGCAGACAGCTGGTCCTGAGTAAGTTCGTTAATGATGATCTTGAGGTCGTCTTTTGGCATAGCGGTGGATCAGGTATCCACGTTGTGTTTTCAAAGTTCTGGTAGTACGAACCACATTTGCAGCATTTTCATGTCGGGGTATAGGCGAATATCTTTGGGGCCTCCAATTGTTCAGGAAATTGTCCCCGTTGGCGATGCGAAGATCGGGCAGTGGTATCTCCCCAAAAGGTGGGAGAAAAAGGGGTAAAAGGCATAGCCTGTCCTCGCAAAGGCGTGTTCTGCCGACCTGGTGCAGCTGGCGACCCAAGTCCCCGCCCAGCCCAACCCGATGAGGATTGTTGCGTATTGGGCGGTGTCTCTGTCCATGGCTGTGATAACCAGCGGACCCAGTCCTGATCTGACCAGCCCACATCGTCATCACTTTCCCAAGGAACGTTTTGTCGTCCTCTGGCTCTTGCCCAGGGATCATGATCTGGTTGTAACCAAGGATCTGTTGGCAATTCATATTCTTGAAGCTGGGCGTCGTCTGGAGAATCCATGGCGGCGCTCGGTGCCATGGGGTAGAGAGCGGGAAGAACGAGAGAATATAATTACCGAATGGCAGGGGACTCGTCCTGACTCCCCTCGTGAATCTAAACCACAGGCTCCGCTGCCACTGTGGATTGTACGGGTGTTGCTGTATGGATGCAGAGAGACACGAGGTACAAATATGGGGACCTGCGCTAGAAGAGAGAACGTTCTCTTTCCTTTTACGGAGGCGTGGGCGCACCGGCGCGCCATGATAGCTCAAGGGCCCTTGTGAGCCCAAATGGCGGCGCACAAGGGAGTACAGAGAGAGGCGCAGGAAGAGGAGAGGCTGACAGGGGCTCTGCAACCACAGACGAGGAGGAGGAGGAGGAGGAGGAGGAGGAGGAGGATGAGGGGAAGGACGGAGGAGGAGGAGGACGGAGGAGACGGCAAAGAGACGGAGGAGGAGGGCATGTATGCCGCCTCAAGGCGTCTTGGCTCCTTTCGGGTTCCTCTTCTGAGCGGCGACGCTCCGAGCATCGCCCTAAAGGCAGTTGCCGGTGCCACCTCCCGCCTCCGCTCCCTGCGGAGCTCTCATGGGAACGGGGGACGTCGTTGGGCTCCCTTGGGTTCCTGTGGGGCAGTCTGGGGTGTCCTTGGGGCCCTCTCGTGCCTTTGCGTGGCCCTAGCGAGCTGTCTTGGGGCTCGGTTGGCCGTGTGGTGACCTTCGCGGGGTCGTCTTGGGGCTTTCGGGCCGTCTATGGACCCTCCTAGACCAGAGCCCTCTCGGGTCACCTTGGGGCTCTTTGTGGCCCGTTCCGGGCCGAGTAGGGGTCCTCTTGCGGCTATTAGTGGGCTTTTGGGGACTCTCGAAGACCGCAAATTGACCGATCTTCCACCGAACAGCATGGCAAGCTTCCAACATGGACACGCGTAAGAAAAACTTTTGTTTGTTTTTGTTTTCTCTCTCTCTCTCTCTCTCTTTCTCTCGAGGCTCTCCTGGAGACCGTCTTGGGGATGTCTCTCAGCCCTTTGGAAACCTCTTGGAATCTATCGGGAGTTTCATAGGGGCTGGTGGGTGCTTGTTGCGGCAGCGTTGAGCAATCTTGGCCGCCCTGGTGGCCCTCGTGGGCCGAACAGGAAGTTTTGAAACGTGCAGGAGAACCCCAGGATGACGACGGGCCGCCCAGGAAGCCTCGGGAGGGGGGTCCAGTAAGTTCGTGTCGTCTTTGCGCGGCAGCGACCCCGCCGCGGGCGTTCAAGGTTGAACGCCGCCAGTGGCCCAGAATCGGCCACCGTGGAAGGATCTGTCTATCGACAAACGGCCGATCGTTCAAGGGTTGAACGATCCACGCAGTGTCGGGAACCAACGCCCAGGTCGTCACAACACAAACCTGCCGTGGCCGTAGGTCCGTGCAGCGGAGTTTGCGGAGGGGGCGGGGGACCCTTTAGTAGACATCCAGAATCTTTGCCGGACAGCACTTGAGCGACACGGAAAACAGGTCCGATGGCGCGGACATTTGCGTGTAAGCTGCCCGCGTGAGGTCGCGCTTGAGCGTCCCTTCTCCAAGCTGGGCAGCACGCTGGCGGCCCGCGTAAGCCACCGCTTACTGTCGCTATGCCTTCTCGCGTCAGACCCGTTGCTTCATGTACTTGGCCTTCTGCCACGCCCCAGCCTGCCAGGGGGCAGAGTGGCGGATTTGGGCAGAGGATCGGACACGGAAGGTCGACCAGCTTCTGGCGCAGATCGTCACGATGGCGCGCGGGCGTACCTTTACCGCGTGCCTCCCGGTTCCCGAGTGGGGCCCGAAGTGGTCGCCGACGAAGAGCATCGATCCGATCTGCCAGCAGACCTTCGACTCGGATCATCCGATGAAGGGGGGGACGACCACCGTTGACGTGGTAAGCTTCCCCGGCGCCCCGTATATATCGATCATTTTCGATGCTTTCACCGACATGCACGAAGAGAGCGAGCTCATGTTCTACAAAGACGCTGCTTGTCGCGAGGCTGTTCCGAAGTGCAGCATCATGAAGGGCAGCGCCATGAGCGGAGACTGGCCTGGCATTGCTGGCAAGGAGGCCCTGAACGTGTTCGCCGACACCGTGTACTACAGGGCAAAGGCTCGGCGCCGCGCCGAGGGGGGAAGTGGGAGGCCGGGAGGGGGCTGGCCAGAAGGCATCGCGGTTTGTCATAATCCCTTTGTGTGTGTGTGTGTTTTTGTTGTGTGTGTGTGTGTGTTTTTTTGTGTGTGTGTGTGTGTGTGTGTGTTTGTGTGGTGTTTTTTGTTGTTGCTGTGTTTTTTTTTGTGTGTGTTTTTCCCCACGCCTTCTCAGGAGCCCTCTGTGCCTTCGTCGGAGCAGGCTCAGGAGGCTCCTTCCAGGGCCGGAGGCCCCCAAAGCCTTCTGGGGAGGCCCGCTCTCTCAGCCCTGCCCCCCCATGGGCGCGCAGCCCGGAGGCGGCGGTCGGCTCCGAGGCGTGGGGGTTCCGGTTCAGCGCGTCGGCCCCCGTGAGCGAGGAGAGGGGGCCACGGGTGAACCCTACCCCTATCGGAGGGCACAAATTATACACCAACACCGATCCTGGCCCAGGATCACCCTGGGCCCAGGATCGGTGTATATGCCTTCTTGCGCAAGGCAGGAGGGCGTATACACCGATCCTGGGCCCTGGGTGATCCTGGCCAGGATCGGTGTTGGTGTATAGTTGGTGCCTTCCTACCCTACCCCCCACGATTTCAGAGGGGGAGGGTGGGGTTCCCTTCGCTCGGGAGCTCCCGAGCGAAGTGAAGCCCAACCTCCCCCTTAGAAATCGTGGGGGGTAGGGGTAGGGTTCACCCGTGGCCCCCTGGAGGATGGCTGCAAGCTGCTGGAGGAGCACGCCAGCAAGATGCAGATTGCCGAGGACCTCGACCCGTTGGTCTACAAGCTTGCGCTCGCGGAGATGTTCAACAATCTCGGCGGCGCGCCCCGGGGGGAAGGCAGGGATGGCGGGCCTTTTCAGAAGGCTTTGGTGGCGAGGCCTCCGGTGTTTGAGAAGGCACACGTGCCGTCTCAGAAGGCTGGGGGGCTTCAGAGAAGCCCCGCCGCTTTCTGAGGAGGCCTGCCCCATCTCGTTTCCCCCCTCTGCGCGCCGCCGACCATCTGGACAGAGCCAAGAGTTATCTCATGCGCAGCTGCCCGCAGCTGACCGCGAAGGCGAAGGCGATGCAGGAGGCGAGCAGCAACGGGCTCTACACCGACGAGACGGAGAGGGAGCAGGTCAACCTGCAGACGGGCGAGGTCTTCTTCGACAACAAGCCGCCCCTGCCGGTGCTCGGCGGAGGAGGGGGAGGAGGAGGAGGGGGAGGAGGAGGAGGAGGAGGAGGAGGAGGAGGAGGAGGAGGAGGAGCAGGAGGAGGAGGAGGACGAGGAGGAGGAGGAGGAGGCGGAGGAGGGGCGAGATCCGAACTCTACCCTCACCGATTCACGACCCAGGCAACTCGATGGGCTGCGGGTGCAGGGTTCGGATCTCGTCGATCGCGTGGCGAAGTCCGAACCCTATAGGCACGCTCTCGTCGATGTAGAAGAATCGGTGTTTGCTGGGGGGAGGAGTCGGATTTCGCCACCTAGGTGCCGAATGAGCTCGTGATGACGGACGGGTTTCAGCAAGTGTTCGACAAACTGCGGCCCCAGTGCACGGTCGTGGAGGATTCGTCCAACAGGGTTTGGTACCAGATTGCGGACAACACCGAGGGCAGGATGTCGACGTACATGGTCCGGAAGTGGAATTCGACAGCTTCTTGCTACAAGGAGGGGGACGATCCTACTGACCCTGGACATGGAGAGATGAAGGAGAACCCCAAGAGGAAGGACCACATGCCATGGGGGCCTGTGGAGCTCACCAAGTATACATTCAGTTTGGTCGCAACGCAGGGGTGGCCTGGTTATCCACAGCTGGTGGAAGGCACAAAGCTAAGATATTTGGACACAACATACACACGCATGCAGGAGACACATCTCAAAGAAGCAGCTGTGAAAGACCGCGTAATGGCCCGCATCTTCCAGATAATCCGATGGACGCACCCTAGGGATAGAGAAGGCAAGCGCATCAAGAACCTTCAAAAACTCATCTTCAAAGAGCCGATTGAGAGGAATCCACGATATCTGATGTATATCCGCCCTGCAGATGGTGCTCAGGGGCAGTTTGTCCAAGTTGTGTATTTTGAAACTCTCGATGTCATCAAGTTTTTTGGCATTTCTGATTCTGGGCGACGAGGTATCCGCAGGCTAATTTGTACGAGCAACTTCAGGTTATCATTGCACTCGCCGTCCCCACGTGACCCAGAAAACGCACCACCGTCATATCCTCGGAATACCGACGGCGGTATGCCCTTCTTCATGGGAAGCCCTTTCATGAATCTGTACAACGCGCAGAACATGCTGATGCCCCCCGAGGAGTCGGTTGTCATCGAGCGGTCGATCTTGCAGTCGAATCAAGTGCTTGAGGAGGGTCTGCGCGAGCAAGCTGGCAAGCTTGGCCAAGATCAGGCTGCTCTCCCTGTGGGCCTGCTTCCACTGAAGCCGTTTGCCACGCGAGGCTACGAAGGAGAGGACTCACAGCCCGAAAGCAAGGAGGTCGAGATCTTCTGCCAGCGCGACCTGGTGGGAAGCATCCCTGGCTGCCTGCTCGACGGGTACGATTTCTGGCGCCGGGGGGCCGATGCCATCATGGGGTACCCCAAGAAGACTGTGTTGTCCTCGTATAGTCACGCCGCCGTGCCCTGGTGGATGGGCTCCGCCATTATCATGCACATGGGGGGCATGGCGCATGATGGTGAGTTAGGCGACACAGTGTCACACATGGAGGCAAAAACAGAGATTTATCGAGTGCCCTGGAGACATGTGGAGGACCCCGACGGCTGCGCTGGGCTGCAGGCCGCCTCGAAGCCACTAGTTCTTCTGAACCTGATGGACCCGCCGAAGGGCTCGTTGCTGGAGAGCGTTGCAAGGCTGCTGGCAAGGATCGAACTGCTGAGCAATGTCTTGGTTTGGTCTTCCACGGTGAACGTTAAGAGTCCTGACGACTCTCGCGAGATCAGCTTCATCCAGCTCCCCCGCTTGAACTTGAATTTCACGCTCAAAATGGTGGAAGGCGAGCCACGGCTTGAGTGTGTGCAGCGGTCGGGAATGTACATCAAGGCAAGGCTATCCCAGGACTCCTCGCTAAACAAGATGGGAATACTCAGACACTGGTGGCCGTACATCCTGCTGGAGAGCAGCAGCGGGAAGACCGACGTATTGATGGCAAATTATAGATGGCAGAGGATTCCGCTGCCGGGCAATCCCATGAGCACGCGCTGTCAGCCGATCGACGACAAGAAGTGGGGGTCT